CGGTGTGAGAGGGTGGAGGGGGAGTGAGGGATGGGTATATACAACCACAAGGAGGTAAGATGTGTAACGTTGGGGATGGTCACGCTTAAGTCTGACTCGGAAGGGGGGGAGGGACAGCCAATATACATAACCTAAAACTTGGTACCATAATATGCTAAAATAAAAAATAATAAAAAAATAATAAAGATAAATCCAACTCCGCCTAGCAACGTCAAACCTCCCAAAAGCGGCCGGACCGTGGTCCCTTCTGAAGTCTTCTCTGGATGTTTGGAGTCCAGCCTCCGCGCCTCCCCACGCTCAGCGAAAACACTTACCAGAAGGTTCTGCTGGCTGTCTGCTTATCAGCCGGCTCCCCCACCAGAAGGAGCCCCCGGGGCCCGAGACGGCGCCTCACTCATCTTCCTACCACCGGAGCGACAGACAGACGGCAGAGGCTCCACACACGTCTGCTGCACACACACATGCTCCCGCAGGTCAAAGGAGTGGCCACAGGGCTGTTTTTTTGAGGGTGAGCAAACGCTGCTCCACCCACTGATAAAAAAAAAAAAAGAAAGAAAACCTCCAGATAGCCAAGTGCTGGCGACAAACGGCACATGCAAAGCTTGCCTGTGGGGTTTGGTGACTATAAACCGGAAACCAGAAACCGGAAAATTAGCCGGCGCAGGTCGCTCCCGCCTGTCATCCCGGCACTCTGGAGGCCGAGGTGGGAGGAAGCTTAAGGTCAGGAGTTCGAGACAGCTGAGCAAGAGCGAGACCCCATCTCTACTAAAACTAGAAAGAATCAATTCCCAACTAAACATATATATAGAAAAAAATAGCCGGGCGTGGTGGCACATTCCTGTAGTCCCAGCTACTCAGGAGGACGCTGAGGCAGGAGGATCTTTTGAGCCCAGGAGTTTGAGGTTGCTGTGAGCTAGGCTGACGCCACGGCACTCACTCTAGCCCGGGCAACAAAGCAAGACTCTGTCTCAAAAAAAAAAAAAACACTGGAAAATCACTGGGGCGGTTTGCACATGGGCACAGCCAGGCGGGTGAGAGGGAGCGGTGCAGGTACAGGCAGGCAGCGTGGGTGGCTGAGGCACACACAGAGAGGTGAGGCAGACCGGGGCGGGACACCACGCCGGCTAGATCGGGGAGGCCCCACGTGCCAGGGAAGAAGCCTGGAGCTCCTGGTCTGCCTGGCAGCCAGCCAGGGACAGCCCTCCAAGTGGGAGGGCCGGGGAGGGGTGAGAGTCACATTTCATCCTCATCATCCTGGAGGTCACCTGGCTCCAGGTGAGAACTGTCACACCCACTTCACACTCTGAGACCCATTAGCACCTCTGCCCATGGTCATCACAGGGTCAGTGACCTGGTCTGTCACCACCACTCCATGTTTCAGACACAGTGTCAGCTTTTGCCCTTACTTTTATACGACTGAGATTTTACTCATCAAATATAGAAGTGTATCAACCTTCCACAATTTCTTTTGTTGTTTTTGAGAGAAGAGTCTCACTCTGTTGCCCGGGCTAGAGTGCCGTGGCGTCAGCCTCGCTCACAGCAACCTCCAACTCCTGGGCTCAAGCGATCCTCCTGCCTCAGCCTCCCGAGTAGCTGGGACTTACAGGCATGTGTCACCACGCCTGGCTCATTTTTTTCTATATATTTTATGGCAATTGATTTCTTCTGTTTTTTAGTTAGACAGGGGTCTCGCTCTTGCTCAGGCTGGTCTCGAACTCGCTGAGGCTTGAGCTCCTCCCTCCCTCAGCCTCCCAGAGTGGCTGGATGACAAGCGTGAGCCACCGCCGACCTTAACATTTGTACCCCCATAATATGCTGAAATAAAAAAAAAATTTTGTTTACATTTAAAAAAAGTAAATCTAATGGAAATTTTAGATGGGGGTATTTTACTTCTTATTAATATTATAAAATGACACCCATAAGAGGGAAGTGTGTAGCTTTTTGCAGATTTTATATTCCGGACTGGTTATGAAATAAATGTGTTTTTGGTACGGCTAACAAAATGGAACATTTCTTGTCCAATGAGCAGGTTGTCTCTTTTTTTAAGGTTACGAGAAGACAGACGAGGTTTCGGAAAAGACCTCCCTGGCTGACCAGGAGGAAGTGAGGACTATCTTCATCAACCAGCCCCAGCTGACGAAGTTCTGCAACAACCATGTCAGGTAGGAGCTGCCAAAGAACACTTGGGACCCGCCGTAGCAGGTCCCAAGATAGCTGTATCTTGGCTATTGTGATTGAAGAAATATTAATTAAGAATTCTGGAAGTAGGAAGACTGCAAAAGGGGTAACCAGCACTAATCACACTCTAATTGCTTTTCCAAACTGGATAAATGTTGCAAAGGGTCATTAACTTAAATGGAAGAGGGTAAAAGGCAATGGCTACCCACACAGGAAGGAGAGGATATCTGGATAACGAAAGCTATTTGGAGGTAAACTGCCTTTGTCCCAAACCTGTTAAATAGAGCGCAGTGTGTTGTTGGTTCCTGTTAACAAGACTTAACATTTTAGGAGAGGCCATTCCGCCTTTCCTTTAAACAGTCTTCAAATACCGGGTTTTGATGCTTGTGCAATTTGGTGCGATGAGGAGGAACAGAGGACTGTGAGAATTATGTCGCTGCACCGTTGTTTTATTCCAACAATAATTTAAAATCTATCCCGGTAAGCGCCGGCCACCAAGTGCACACGCCCGGTGTTTCTCTAGGGGAGGAAGTCCCAGATCTGGGAAGGGCCCATTTGAAATTAATATTTGCAACTTCAGATTCTAGAGGACCATGTTTCGCCCCAAAATAAGACCTACCCACAAAATAAGCCCTGGCAGGATTTCTAAGCATGTGCAATAGAAGCCCCACCCCGAAAATAAGCCCTAGTGGTGGGCGTGGCTATGGAAATAAGCCCTAGTGGTGGGTGTGGCTATGGAAATCAGCCCTAGTGATGGGCGTGGCTATGAAAATCAGCCCTAGTGATGGGCGTGGCTATGGAAATCAGCCCCAGTGAGGGGCGTGGCCGCGCAGTGCGTCTGCACAACCCATGCGTGTCGTCGCGGAGCGGGAAAGGACACGAGCAGCCCTTCTCATCCGCCCCGTGAGAGCTCTAGTGCCCCACAGGAGAGATCGGGGCCAGTGGTTCTAAAGGAAACAGAGTCGCAAGACATTCAGGATGGGATTCGGGGTTTGGAGAGTGAGGATGATGTTCCAGAAGAAGATGACTTCACTGTATTTGAATAAATGTAGATGGTTGTACCGTTCTTAAAAAAAAAAAAATACCACATCCCCCAAAAATAAGCCCCAGGGTGTCTTCTTGAGGAAAAATAAATATAAGAGCCTGTCTTATTTTCGGGGAAACACGATAACATTTCTCCATTTGGGAAGTGTGGCGTTGGCCTCTCCTTTAATGTCCTTTCTATTGGATAATCAAGAGGAAGATCTGGATGTTTCCAAGACCTGAGTGGCGATATCTCACAAACGTGGGCACATCAGGTGTGTTTAGTTTGGGGTCTGAGCCAAGTTCCTGGTGTGGGCGCGAAGAAAATTCAGGTACAAGTCCCGGAAACTTCCCTGTTTCTCTGAAGTTATCCAGAAAAGACATCTCTGTGTCCTGTGTCTGGTCCTGCTCAAGTGGCTGATTTTTTTTTTTTGGCAAGATTGCATTTTCTATCAGTCATGTTATACAAGATCTTATCTAAAGTGGCTCTTCTTTGTAAGCTGCTTCTAGTAACGTTAAGCAGGGTAATTGGCCAAAGAGGACAAATGATACAATGTTGAAAGTAAAACTGGTCTTCTCTCTCTCTTTTTTTTTTTTTTTTTTTGAGACAGTCTCAGCAGTCTGTTGCCTGGGCTGGATTGCCGTGGCGTCAGCCTAGCTCACAGCAACCTCCAACTCCTGGGCTCAGGCGATCCTCCTGTCTCAGCCTCCTGAGTAGCTGGGACTACAGGCACACACCACCATGCCTGGCTAATTTTTTCTATATATATCTTTTTTAGTTGGCCAATTAATTTCTTTCTATTTTTAGTAGAGACAGGGTCTCGCTCTTGCTCAGGCTGGTTTCGAACTCCTGACCTCGAGCAATCCTCCCTCCTCAGCCTCCTAAGTAACTGGGACTACAGGCATGCACCACCATGCCTAGCTAATCTTTTCTCTATATATATTAGTTGGCCAATTAATATCTTTCTATTTTTAGTAGAGACGGGGTCTCGCTTTTGCTGGTTTCGAACTCCTGACCTCGAGCAATCCTCCCGCCTCGGCCTCCCAGAGAGAGTGCTTAGGATGACAGGCGTGAGGCACCGAGCCCGGCCCTGGTACCCTCTCTTTACCGTTTGGGTAGCCAGTTCCTTTTGCTCTTTTCCGTTCAGGTTAACAACCCTTCGCAACATTCTTCCAAGTTGAGACAGCAAACCCCCATCATCCGGTTTTCATACGGCAGCGACAGAACGTTGTAAATGTGGGTGCTGATCAGGGAGTAATTAAGTTTTACGCTGCTTTTTGTTTTTGTTTTCCAGCACTGCAAAATACAACATCATCACCTTCCTTCCGAGATTTCTCTACTCTCAGTTCAGAAGAGCCGCGAATTCATTTTTTCTCTTCATTGCACTGCTCCAGGTAAAGCCACGTTGCAAAACCTTAGTTCAAAGTCAGGTGTTCAGGTATCGTAAAGTAAATGATTTTTGTTAAGTCTGCGGCCAGTTCACTGAGTTTCCCTGGATGCAGAGAGCTAGGCTGGTTTGGGTAAAGGCTCCGGCCCCCTCTGTTGTAAGCAGTGTCATTCTTCCACCACCTCTTCGAGCCTGCGATTCATTTGTACCAGCTCCTTTTAGATGCTCTGTAAATTTGTTGGGGCAAGAGCCGTTCATTTTGGGCGGCAAAGGAGGATGGGAATTTTTCTTAAAATACTGATTTTCACAGCAGTGAAAGCATCCGCTCCGAACCTCAGAATGCCAGAATCACCGCTTAAAATCTTGAGTTTCTCTTTGTATTTTTGTCAGTTAGCATCAGAAAAAAAATGGTTTCATTAAAAAGTAGCATATGTTAGTCGTAAAAAAAAAAAAAAAAGAATTTAAAAGCACAACAGAACACGAAGAAAAAAATTAAAACTTATACTATTCCACCGCCAGAGACAAACACTCTTAAATTTTGGGCACATGCCCTTCTGATCTTTTTTTTTTCTTTTCTGCAATATAAACGCATGGGTTGTGCAGATGCATTGTGTAGCCACGCCCATCACTAGGGCTGATTTTCATAGCCACGCCCACCACTAGGGCTGATTTTCATAGCCACGCCCATCACTAGGGCTGATTTTCGGGGTAGGGCTTCTATGGCGCACATGCTTAGACATCCTGCTGGGGCTTATTTGATGGGTAGGTCTTATTTTTAGGGAAACACAGTAAATACCAGCAAATTGCCTCATCCAGTGTTAGTCTGCTGTGATAATAAAATCAGCAAGGCATATTTTAGAAGGCACTAAGACTTTGCTGTTTTTAAATCGGTTATAAACTTTCTAGCTCTCATTGGATTTTTCTCTTTTTTTTCCCAAATAGCAAATACCCGATGTATCACCAACAGGTCGTTACACCACACTGGTCCCTCTCTTATTTATTTTAGCTGTGGCAGCTATCAAAGAGATAATAGAAGATATTGTAAGTATTTGGCTTTTTTTTTTTTTTTATAAATACTTGTGACTCTGTTATTTAACATTTTTTAAAATATTAATTTCTAGAGTTATTTAATGTTGGCATAGACTGCTTAAAATATCCATTCAGCTTAAAAATGTATAGAATATGTTCTTAACCCCCCAAATTAATTTTTGTTGGTTTCTTTAGGGTTAATATTCCTGAATGCTTGTTACAGTATTCTGTTATGTTTCTTTGCTATTTAATTTAACTTAAACAATTGGCTTGGGGAGAAAACTGTATCTGAATTTTATTTTCTATTAAATGAAATAAAGTAACCTCCAAATTATCTAACTATAATGGGGTTTTTGGTATTTTTAATCCAAATACTATAATTTTCACCTTTTTAAATGTTTGATTTTCTTTTTGTCTTATTTTAGTAGTTCTTACATTTCCTTTTCTTTTCTCTGATTTCACTAAAAGAAAGTAAAAGCAAGTTTGCTATTTTTGCCATTCCATAGTAGTAGAAAAAAAGGGGAAGTCATTTTGCCCTTTTATAAAATAGATTCAGGCTTCCCTCCTGCCCTCTAGTTTACCTATTTTAACTATCTTACTTGAAGATGCCAATGTTTTGCTTTGTTTTGTTTTCCTATTCTTTTAAAGTATTTCTTTGCCTGCTGAAATGGTCTTCCATCAAGCCTTTGGAAAAAAAGTTAGATGTCAAGGCAAGGAAAGACTGAGAAGTGTTTTAGAAAGTGCCAATTTCAAGTTTTACAAACATTAACCTTTTTTTCCTGTAGAGAATCTTATTAAGACGAAGACATGAGCCATAGCATCACTAACTAGACCCCTTAGAAATGGGTCAGTTGAACATTTAGATCATTGGGTTCAAAGGCATCCGACTGTGTAGGAGTAGACATAGATCTTGATTGGAAAGAACATATTTGATGGGTAACACCAGCTGGGAAATTGAAGAGATCCTCTTCTCACCTGTATTGTTCTCACAGGCTTACGAACCTTTTAAATTATGGTTGGGTCTGGCTGTCTATTCGGATTGGTCTTTTACCACAATTTTGTCTCTTTCTTTGCTTGGCGGACTCATTTTTCTTTCTTCGGTGTAACCTGATTTTCATTCCGCACCCGTTATCTGCCAGGCTGTTGTGCTTGTTGCTTTTGCAAATGCTCTCTCCTCGTTTAATTGCCTCAGTAGCTTTCAGAGTTGGGTGCGAACCCCATTTTACAGGTAGGGAAGCTGAGGCCGGGGGAGAGGTCGTTGTAACTTCCCCGAGAAAGCGATGGAATCGGAATTCCATCTCAGTCCAGTGCTCTTGGCTGCTTGTTATCGTGAAGAGTCACTGACAACAATATTAGCAACATCGATCGTGTTTCTGGGTTCCACGTACTTGCTTTTTGTCCTTTACTAAATCTTGTAATAACCCGTTATGTTGTCTCCTTTTTTGTTGTTCTCGCGTTTTTTCTTGTTTTCTGTGCGCTCTGTTTTGGGGCTCTGGTATCTGCGCACTGTGTTGTGTCTTTTGGGGAGTTTTAGGTTTTTCGTGCGATTTTTGCATGTGAGCATCTCGAGTGCGGAGAGATGTGATCTTATATATATGTTTTTTCCCGTGTCCTATGTTTTAAAGGTGTTCTGATCTTTTTTTTTTTTTTTTTAATTTTTTTTTTGTGTGTAACTGTTTTCTTTTTTTTGAAACACCACCCCCAGTGTGTTTTGTTCTGTGTTTTTGATGTTTTTTTTTTTTTTTTTTTTTGCGAGACGGGTTTTGGTTTTTTTGCCCGGGTTGGGTTGGTTGCGTTGGGTTCGGCTTGGTTCCGGGCACCTTCCACTTCTTGGGTTCAGGGGTTCTTCTTGCTTCGGCTTCTTCTGGGTTGGTTGGGCTTCCGGGCTTTTGCCACCATGCCTGGCTAATTTTTTCTGTATATATCAGTTGGCCAATTAATTTCTTTCTATTTATGGTAGAGACGGGGGTCTCGCTCTTGCTCAGGCTGGTCTCGAACTCCTGACCTCGATCGATCCTCCTGCCTCGGCCTCCCAGAGTGCTAGGATGACAGGCGTGAGCCACCGCCCCCGGCCAAGATGATTTAAATAGCGTGCAGTTTGCCCAAAAATGTGCCGTCCCTGGCGTGTGTCTTAGAGAATGTGGTCCGAAAGGTGGTATGATGGATCGATCTTGTCCCCATTTTGCAGAAGAGACAGAGCAGGGAGAGGGGTGAGAATTCAAACAAGGCAGTTTAACTCCAGAGCCCTGCCTCACAATCACTCTTCCAAACTGCCTTCCCACTTTTTGTGGCAAAGCTATAAGCTCTCTAGCTGTGGTTTCTAGTACCCCATCTTTGCAAATAGATGGTGAATTAAATTGTACCCAAGAACCTCTTTTTTAATAGAACTCTTACTGGCATAAGATAATAATTGAGTACTATTAGAAACCAGCTAATCAGGCAGCCCCTAAAGAATGTAGTAATAGTATTGTAAAGTAATGATAGTGACATATGGAGTAGTTTTCTAGTGAAATCGGTGGTCAGAAATTAACCTAAAATTGTAAGAGTCGTTTAACAAGAAATCTGTACCAAATTACAAATTGATAGAAAGTTTGAGATATTTACTCTCTATAGAAGGAAAGGAAATATTTACTCCCTATAGAAGGAATGGAAATATTTACTCTTTATAGAAGGAAACTACCAATCAACAGTTTAGATAGTTGCACAAAGAGCTATCTTTATCAGTAGCTGTAATGATTACATCTGCTAATCAGTTCTTTCGGCAGGAGTATTTGAGGTATGACTTAGGTGCTGGGCATTCGTTAGGATACATATTAGGAGGTGTTAGGCCGGGCCCGGTGGCTCACACCTGTCATCCCAGCACTCTGGGAGGCCGAGGCAGTCGGATCGCTTAAGGTCAGAAGTTGGAAATCAGCCTGAGCAAGAGTGAGACCCCATCTCTACTAAAAATAGGAAGAAATTAATTGGCCAACTAATATATATAGAAAAAAAAAAATTAGCCCGGCACGGTGGCGCACGCCTGTAGTCCCAGTAACTCGGGAGGTTGAGGCAGGAGGATCGCTTGAGCCCAGGAGTTGGAGGTTGCTGTGAGCTAGGCTGACGCCACGGCACTCACTCTAGCCTGGGCAACAAAGCGAGACTCTGTCTCAAAAAAAAAAAAAACAAAAACCAAAAAAAAATCCTATTATTAATAAAAGAAAACTAAGATCTGTTAGACTAACGGGTAGAGGCGGGGACAAGTGGAAAAATGAATTCACTATATGTTTAAAAGTAAAATTGACCAAACTTAAACTTACCATCGCCCAACATGATACATACCCAACTCAACCTTGCTCGTATTTTCAGCCTCAGCTGCGGGAAGGCAGGCTCCGTGACAGCGGGCGGTTTCCGCTCTCGTTGAGTGCGCAGCAGTGGTAACGGGGCTTGGCACGTGGCGCTACTGGTAAAGACTGACGGAGTGAAGAAATAGGTTGGGTGGCAGTGAGAGCGAGAAGGGGGCACAAGAATGACTCTTGACGAGTTCCTGGCTCGTGCGGATAAGCGGTGTTCGGTTTCCGTGTTCTGAGACGAGGACCAAGGCTTAGGGGGTAAGGTCGCAGGTTGCCTGTGGGCGCGGTTCGGGACGCTTTTGGGACTGCGACAGGGAGATGCCAAGCAAGCAGGTGACTGGCTGTAACTGTGGAGGTCAGGGGAGCGTCTTGGCTGGCGTGTGTGTTGTGTACTGGCTGGAACTGCACACGGCGGGCAGCACAGAGCTGAACCAGGAAGAGGATGAGGAGTGAGGAGGGTCGGGGGAATACGCCTTAAGGAATCGAGTCACTGAACAACAGCAGCTGGACGGAGAGGACAAGAAAGGGTCAAGATGCAGACGGAAAACCTGGGCAGTGATGTGATTAAAAAAAACAAAACGCCTTGGGGGTGGGGGGGAAGGATTTCCAGAAGGAGGGTAGAGTGGTCAGCATTGCATACTTAAGTATCCTAAAGTTCATGCAACTACCGTGTTTCCCCGAAAATAAGACAGGAGGGTCTTATATTTGTTTTTCCTCAAGAAGACACCTTAAGGGCTTATTTTCAGGGCATGTGTTATTTTTTTTTAAAGTACGGTACAACCATCTCCGTTGATTCCAATAGAGTGAAGTCGTCTCCTTCTGGAACATCATCCTCACTCTCCAAACCCCGAATCCCATCCTGAATGTCTTGCGACTCTGTTTCCTTTAGAACCACTGGCCCCGATCTCTCCTGTGGAGCACTAGACTCTCCGGCGATGACAAGGCCCTCCGCTTGGTCTCTTAGTCCGCTCGCAACGACTTCATGGATTTGCAGCTTGCTGCGCAGCCATGCACGCCTAGGCTGATTTTCATAGCCGCCATCTACATAGGCGATTCTCATAGCACGCCATCATAGGGCTGATTTCATGGCCCCCACAAACACACACCCCACGCCCGCACTCAACTGATTTCATACACCAGCCAATCACTAGGCTATTTTCATAGCACCGCCATCCCAGGGCTTTATCCATAGCCCACCCACCACTAGGCTCGATTTTCCCGAGTACGGGCCTTCTATTGCACACATGCTAGAAATCGCTGCTAGCCGTTATGCAGCGTCTCTATTTCAGCGAAACAGGTATTTATAAACACTCTAGTGTCATCGCGTCCAGATACGATAAGTAAAAACTCACTACGCTCGGATAATGACATGATTCATTATTTAGCAGACAGATGAACTCAAGCATACCTGTTAACTTTTTTAGCTTTAGGTGAGAAGGAGTAAATGATCTCCTAAGAGCACAAGTTATATGCATTCTTCTGATACGATACGTAGGTCAAACAGTTGGATGTGTGAAGTTGTACACATCTACAGTACTTAATTACATAATCTTTGGTGGTAACCACTACTCTTGACAGGTAACCTATATAATTCGCTGGTCCACAGAGGAGAAAGCACACACTCCAGATGAAAGTGCGGTTGGGGTGACCTTGGGATTTCACTAAGATAAATTTCCTTTTCGAATGAGTGTCTCGTTAATACTTATCAGAGATCTACCTCAGACATGGAACATAACCGTTCTGCGTAGACTAAAAGCTTTGGGAATCTTTGCCCTCCTTTGAATCTCTACGTTTACCGGGCCCTTAATGACGAAACTTATTGGTATTACATTTCTAATTTTTTTTTTTTTTTACACTGAACAAAAAAAAGCCAAGAGTATTTTAGAGTCTACAACTATAACACATTCTCTCCTGATGTCCAAATTTAAAAGAGTAAAAAATTTTAAGAAGGAATTTTCGCAAACTCGGTTTACTTTTGAAAGCAATACTCTGCCTGTTAAAGTCACGTTATATCCTTGTCCTGCCAATGAGAGTTACGTGATCCGCATCTGGATTGTCAGAATCATTGTTCGCAGTTCTTCAGAGAGATTTGAATCTTATATGCATTACGCAGTTCAGTGCAGATTGTTTACCAGATTGCATCCCCTACCAGCTATACTCATCCCTCCCGTGCTGCGAATCTTGCGATGCTGATCACAGCTCTAGATTTTCTCTGAGAGTTCTTGCTGATCACATGTGAACTAAAAACCGTGGGGTTTTTTTTGGCCCAATGAAAATTTTGGGAACTCACATGGTTTTACATTCTTTTTCTTTTGAGACGAGTCTCCCTGTGCCCAGGCTAGAGTGTATCGTGGCTCAGCCTCATCCACAGCAACTCAAACTCTGGCTCACGTCCTCCTCTCAGCTCCCGAGTAGCTGACTACAGCATGCGCCACCCGACCGTAATTTTTCTATAATTAATATTAGTTGGTCAATTAATTTCTTTCTATTTATAGTAGAGACGGGGTCTCGCTCTTACTCAGGCTGGTTTCAAACTCCTGACCTCAAGCGATCCTCCTGCCTCGGCCTCCCAGAGTGCCGGGATGACCGGCATGAGCCACCTCTCCCGGCCTGGTTTTACATTTCTTTCAACCCATGTTATAGTCAGGCATGCACAGCTGAATTTGACCTTGAGGTTTGCAGGATGGCACCCTTGAGCAGAGAGGGAGTTACCCTCAGTGCTTTCCTGCAGTGTTAGCCGTACTGATGGGTTGTGCTTGATGCTGCAAGTGTAGACTTAAGTCATGCAAAACATCTCATTGATTCTCGTAGACAAGATAGCTTCCACTGGCCACTCACCTTTCCTCTGACCTTCTGTTTTTGTTTTCTTTCTCACTGCCATGAAACCTGGGCTCAGGTAACTCTCCAGACTTATCCGCCTAGACCCAGGGGTCCTCAAACTTTTTAAACAAAGGGGCCCAGTTCACCGTCCCTCAGACCGTTGGAGAGTGCGCACTGTGGGCCCGGGACGAGTCGGCTGCTAAGCAGGACAGGCAGCGGCTGCAAAAACACCCAGAGGGCCGGATAGATGTGCTAGGGGGGGCAGCATGTGGCCTTCAGGCTGTAGTTTGAGGACGCCTGGCTTAGAGTAATGAACCTTGTTTACCCTTTAATTTTGCAGGTACTTTTGGGAGCAAGGAGAATAGGATAGGATCTTGTGGTTCAGTGGCTCATGGTTGCCACTGGAGGTAGATTTTGGGGAACAGTGAGCAGAAAGGGCCATTTGCAAGTGGTAGATGCATCTGGCTCTGGTCATCCACACACACCAGCACATCCATAAATCATAGTGGATGTACTCAGCTTAATTAGATAATGAATTTCAAAAGAAGCTGAGACTATTTCAATACCATGATTAAAAGGGTAATTATTATAGGTAACTCTCTTGAGCATATCTTCACTTTCGAGTGAGTTATTTAAGCCAAAGACAAAATCAGCCTTTCAGTTTGAATTTTCCTTGTATGTTAAATTAGGCCGGGCGCGGTGGCTCACACCTGTCTCCCAGCACTCTGGAGGCCGAGGTGGGAGGATCACTCGACGTCAGGAGTTCAAAACCAGCCGAGCAAGAGACCAGACACTCGTCTCTACTAAAAGAAAAAAAAAAAATAGAAAGAAATAATTGCCACTAAAAAACATATACTATATATATTAATGAGCCGGGCATGGTGGCGCATGCCTGTAGTCCCAGCTGCTCGGGAGGCTGAGCAGGAGGATGGCTGAGCCCAGAGTTGAGGTTGCTGTCGAGCGAGGCTGATGCCACGGCACTCCACTCTAGCGGCCAACAAGAGTGAGACTCTGTCTTAAAAAAAAAAAAAAATTTTTTTTTTAATCTTACCTGTGTGCTAATGTGAGATCCTCCTGAAGGGAGCCCAAACTTGAGCTCTCAGAAGAGGATCACTGCAGAAAGATGCTGCAGCTTGTGCTTCTGATTTTAGAATTCCTGAGCATCTTTTGCTTTCTCATGACCCTTCCCGCGTTGATGCAGCTTACTAAACACTGAGATGGACGTGAAAGGGACCAACCTGCAGAAACAGGAGCTAAAAAGAAATCCTCTCTTTTGTTGTGTGTGCTGCGTGCACTTTGGTTTCATTGATTTCATTCCCTTTCTCACAGCTGTTCTTTTTGCTTTTGAACTTTAGAAACGCCATAAAGCGGACAATGCTGTGAACAAGAAACAGACACAAGGTAGGAATTTTACGTCTTACTTCTTCCCACGTGTGTCAAGTGACGCTCATAGTGAAATATTTTCAGATCGTTCCGGTTAAGTATAATTCAGTGGAGAGTACTGCGTTATCCCTTAGGTTTTACTTTCAGGGTAAGATGGATTCTTGCTTTGTGCCGTTTGTGGCTTAAGTTCGCACTTAAGTTCGCATTAGAGCGATTCTCGGTGATAATGCTTTTGAAAGCCAACGTTTTTCTAATATGTTTAAGTGCTTGGTAGCAGTGAGCTCCCGAATATAGTCCTTAAAGTCTGGCGGTTGTTTCTGGCAGCGTTAAATACCGTAAACTGTCTTCGCTTGTCATCTGCAGGTGTTGCCGTAGAAAAAATTTACAGAAAATAATCACATGTGATCTTCTTGGGGGTGAAAAGCAAAATTGGAAAGCAAAGCGCTCTTGAGTTATTTTATACATGTAGATGGCGTGTGCTCCGGAAATAAAGATGGGTAACACCGGGCCAGCTTCTGCAGAGTGCATGGTGTTTTTGGCGTGGCTCTTTTCGAGTGAGGAGCCGAGACCAAAATGACCTTTGACGGAAGCAAATAGACCATCATGCTCTAAGATGATTTAAAAAAAAAAAAATACCCAGGAACATGGAAACTCGTCGTATCCTGTCCTGGAGCTTCCCCCTCTGTGAGCCTCATCCTTTTCGGAAGTTCTCCTGGTGGCTTCAGGGTCAGGGAAGTCTGCCAACGTTACCTGGCAGTTAAGGACAGGGTTTTTACCTGGCTGATATTTTTACGGGGCCCCGTCAAAATGCCCTGCTTCTTTCTTTTCTTACCACCTCACACCTAAAAGCATCATATGCTGATTTTCGATATATTTGAGGGAAGATGTATTTATTAATTTACCTAATAGAATTATAAAATAGTTACTGAGATTATATTATGAGACGTACAAAAAAAGTGTAAGATGAGAACTTCAGCTCCGAAGAGCTTGTCGCCTCTTTGGCGAGACAGGTGCGTGAACAGGTGTACAAGTGCGAGGTAAGAGATTTTGTGGAAGACGCAGGATTTGGACCACATGATCTCAACGTCTCTCTGGATTTTTGTGGCCAGTCGTGGTGCCCATGTGAAATGCCATAGCAGCTCAAAAGGAGAGAAAAAGCTGGTGTATCCTGAGGTAGACCTTGAATGTTGGGAGGACTTTGGATGAGCCAAGAGACAAGGGGAAGACATCATACCATGTTTCCCCGAAAATAAGACCTACGGAGACAACAAGCCCCAGCAGGATTTCTAAGCATGCGCACAACAGAAGCCCTACCCCGAAAATAAGCCCTAGTGACGGGCGTGGCTGCGTAGCGCATCTGCACAACCCATGCGTGTCGTGGCGGAGCGGGAAAGAACACGAGCAGCCCTTCTCATCTGCCCCGTGAGAGCTCTAGTGCTCCACAGGAGAGATCGGGGCCAGTGGTTCTAAAGGAAACAGAGTCGCAAGACATTCAGGATGGGATTCGGGGATTGGAGAGTGAGGATGATGTTCCAGAAGAAGACGACTTCACTCTATTTGAATCAATGTAGATTGTTGTACCGTCCTTGAAACAAATAGCACATCCCCTGAAAATAAGCTCTAGGGTGTCTTCTTGAGGAAAAATAAATATGAGACCCTGTCTTATTTGGGGGGAAACACGGTATGTGGGGGTCGAGTGGGAAAGGAGGCGGTGAAAATTATTGTGGACAGGAATGAAGAAGACTTCTGGGCTGGTCTGCTAAACCGTTATTAGAATGCCAGGGATGGGAGGGAGACTCATACCAGAGGGAAACAAACACAGGATTGAAAAGGCAGGCAGGGGTCAGATTTTACAGGCCTTTGAAGGCCGAGCAAAGGGAATTCCAACTTCTCTGTTGAAGGTTTATGAGCCAAAAAAGAGGCAGGATGCACATGGAGGGAGAGAATGGAGGGCAGGATGAATTGGAAGAGGGGAGGAAGCTACCCCAGCAGTTTGGGTGTGAAGGGACACACAGAGGAATCGAAAGAGGAAAAACCCAGGTGTTTCAAGTACTGGTGTTTTTGGCAATATGCACTTTTTGCATTTGTTGCTATATTGCTCAAAATACTCATTAACAGCTTTGGAAATAAAATTAAGGTAAACGCTTTTCCAATGCAGCGGAACGTTCTGTCTTCAGTGACTGGTGGTTATTTATCTTCAAGCCTCTGCTCACGAAGTCAGCATCGTGCAGTCAAGGAATATCGTGTTTCCCTGAAAATAAGACAGGGTATTATATTTATTTTTCCTCAAGAAGATACACGAGGGCTTATTTTCAGGGGATGTGTTGTTTTTTTTTAAGTACAGTACAACCATGTACATTTATTCAAATATAATTAAGTTGTCTTCTTCTGGAACATCATCCTCACTCTCCAAACCCCGAATCCCATCCTGAATGTCTTGCAACTCTATTTCCTTTAGAACCACGGCCCCGATCTCTCCTGTGGAGCACTAGAGCTCTCACGGGGCGGATGAGAAGGGCTGCTCGTGTTCTTTCCCGCTCCGCGACGACATGCATGGGTTGTGCAGATGCGCTGTGCAGCCACGCCCATCACCGGGGCTGATGTTCATAGCAACGCCCACCGCTAGGGCTGATTTTCATAGCCACGCCCATCACTAGGGCTGATTTTCATAGCCACACCCATCACTAGGGCTGATTTTCATAGCCACACCCATCACTAGGGCTGATTTTCATAGCCACACCCATCACTAGGGCTGATTTTCATAGCCACGCCTGTCACTAGGGCTGATTTTCGGGGTAGGGCTTCTATTGTGCACATGCTTAGAAATCCTGCTAGGGCTTGTTTTATGGGTAGGTCTTATTTTCGGGGAAACACAGTAGCCATCGTGGCTGTAATGATTTTGGGCTGCCACACCTCGTACTCACAGGTGCTCCCATTTTTTGGGTCCTTATCTGCTTCCAGAAGTATTCCCTTTTGTCTGCCGGTCAGAGAAAATGTTCTTTCTTGGTTCATCAGTCTTTTTCATGGATTCACAGGTGAGCCCTGTGGCTAATAATGAAGACTAGGCAGGTGAGAGAGAAAACTTCTAGAGTCAGTGTCCATAAAACTCATCTCAAAAATAAAACGTTAGGGCTTAGCTATAAAAACCATTTTAGTCAACAGAATACGGTCAGCCCTCTGCAACCTGTGGGTTCCTCATCTTCAGATTCGGCCGACCGAGAATTGAAAATATTCAGGGAAAGAGAAATACAACAATAAAAAAAAAATTCCAAATATAAACATGCAGTATATAACAGCTATTTACACAGATACTGTTTCCATATTTCCTGTATGCTAGTTACGCCATTACATTGTATGAGACATTGCAAATAATCTAGAGACGATTTAAAGTAGATGGGAAGATGTTCCTAGAATATATGCAAATACTACACTGTTGCATATAAGGGCCTTCCACAAGTTTGAGCGTCTTGTAGCTGTACTTGGAAGTCCTATTTCCAGGCTATTAGTTTAATGCTTGAAATTTGTTCTCTAAAACAATGGTATCTTTTTGTGTGTGTGTTTTATTCTTTTGCCTACTTTTTTGAGTATCGGTCTCCTTGGTTTGGCAGTTGATAGGAGATAACAAAAATGTTATTAAGTAGGGTCCTGTCTGCTGTCCGATAACTCAAATTGCTTAATATGAAAAGCCACCTGTTGGCATTACTCTAGAATGAAATTCCGTTTACTTTCCTGCATCCAGGCAGGAGTGAGGGTGTAAGAGTGTGGGAAGGGGGGTATTTTTAACGGGCAATTGATTTCTGACAGACATTCAAAGCACTAAACTTAAATTTTCATCTTCCAAATGTTTACCAAGACCACATAATATAGAAGGACATTTTTTCCCCTCCATTCAAATATTAATCCTTCTATAGTCTTAGAGAGGTGAATGTTATCTTTCCTTATTTTGCATGGAGCAGTAGAGAGGGATTCTGTCATTCCCTAGCAGCTGCGTAAATGTGAATTTGTAATTTTATTTCCTACCTTTTCAACCATTCGACTGAAGACTGGTGCCTGTCTGGTTGTCTCATTTTCATTGATTAATGGGCTCAGTCGGGGATCTCGTTATGGAATTCAGACCTAGCTCAGACCTTCATGCACTCCACATTTGTGCCTGTCATCAACATCACTTCTGGACACAAGCCACCTCTTGCCCCGGAGATGTCAGCCGGTTAAGTAGATGGTTCAACCACCAGGCAAATGTGCAATTGTGTGTTGTTTTCTGAAAACCCAAGTTGCAGAGGGAGGGCAGAGTAAATTGATGCTCAGAAGTCCAGGGTGCAGTGAGTGAGTCTTTTTTGGTTTTCTTTGTTTGTTTGTTTGGGTTTTTTTGTTTGTTTGTTTGTTTGAGACAGAGTCTCACTCTGTTGCCCGGGCTAGAGTGAGTGCCGTGGAATCAGCTTAGCTCACAGCAACCTCAAATTCCCGGGCTCAAGCGATCCTCCTGCTCCAGCCTCCAGAGTAGCTGGGACTACAGGCATGCACCACCATGCCCGGCTAATTTTTTCTACATATATTTTTAGTTGTCCAATTAGTTTCTTTCTCTTTTTAGTAGAGATGAGGGTGTCTCGCTCTTGCTCAGGCTGGTCTCAAACTCCTGACCTTGAGCGATCCTCCCACCTCGGCCTCCCAGAGTGCTAGGATGACAGGCGTGAGCCACCACGCCCGGCCGTGAGTGAGTCTTTATGAGTTTTATGAATGGTGACTGCTTCTCTTTGCTTGAGTATTTTTGTTTGTGACGGTCCCTGCATCCTAGCAAGGAACTCTGCAGAGCGCAGGTCAAACCTCCGGCTTGCCCTTGCGTTCCCAGCAGCTATCCCAGCCCAGGGTCCTTTCGTAACAAACAGGTGCTCTGCGTGTGCATGACCGATGAATGGGAGAATGAACCTCTCTCTAGGTAAGGACGTGGGCGTAGATAATGGAGGGAGCAAAGAGACCAGGAATGAAAGGAGCCTTCCTGAGAATTCATTATCTGGACTGTGAATGAGCTGAAAAGCAGTATTTTCATAACACTGTGCTCCACACTGTCTCATAGGCAACCGATAAAATACTAATATTAAAATTTCCCCTTGCTTTGCCTTCTGTGAACAAAACCATGTCAGCCCGCCACCCCCAATACTCAAAGCCCACTGCCCTGTTTGGGACAGCCCTGTCTTCCTGGCATCTGAACCTACCTTCATTTTTCTCTGATTTCTTCCCTCCATACGTGAACTCGGCACCTGACATACTCCCACGTGTCTACACACACGCTGGGGGCCAACTCTGGTTGTTTTCCCTGCACTGGGGTTGTTTTGCCAAATTTATCTCCGCAGCAATCTGTAAATTATAAATTTCTAACTGCCATCGTAATTTGTACATTGAACTCAATCCCCACGTGGATCTGTGGTGGCGGCTGAGATAGATCTTTTTTGAAGTCGTACAAAAAAATATTCTTTCATTTTGTATGAAACACTGCTGCCATGTTTCCCCGAAAATAAGACAGGGTCTTCTATTTGTTTTTCCTCAAGAAGACACCCTAGGGCTTATTTTCAGGGGATGTGTTATTTTTTTTTAAGTACGGTACAACAATCTACATTGATTCAAATAGAGTGAAGTCGTCGTCTTCTGGAACATCATCCTCACTCTCCAAACCCCGAATCCCATCCTGAATGTCTTGCGACTCTGTTTCCTTTAGAACCACTGGCCCCGATCTCTCCTGTGGAGCACTAGAGCTCTCACGGGGCGGATGAGAAGGGCTGCTCGTGTTCCTCCCCGCTCCGCGACGACACGCATGGGTTGTGCAGATGTGCTGCGCAGCCACGCCCGTCACTAGGGCTGATTTTTGGGGTAGGGCTTCTATGGCGCACATGCTCAGAAATGGACACGCCACAGTGCATGTAAGATATTCATTCTTGTATTCGTTTGTGTTGCAAGATTTGAACGTCCCGTTTGCCAGGATCCTCCTGCCTCAGCCTCCCGAGTAGCTGGGACTACAGGCATGCACCACCACGCCCGGCTGATTTAGCCGGGGAGATACAGGGAATACAGAAATGAATACGCTGTAACCCCGGTGTTCGGGGAATTTGGAAACACAAAACGATAGTATTTAGATTAAAATAATTTATACTTCTGGTTTTAAGACCTCTTAGTAATTAATTACTAGAGTTGCTGTTTAACATTTGGGGGATTATTATTATCATAGTGATTCCTCTTTTCCAGCATCAGAAGGAACTAAATCCTAGTGGTTTCGTACCTGTAAATTGTTCATTTTGCAAATATTTACTGCTTTGTGCTTGGTACTGTGCTGTTTCCAGGCAATTCAGGGTTAAAGCAAATATGAGCTTTGTCCCTGTGGAATTTACTGTCTGGGTAACTTGATGTATTCCTTTTCCTAAGTACTAAGTGCTGTGCTTTCTGTCTGATATCATTCTCTTGTCCTCTTTTATTTATTTACTTATTTTAGTGTCTATTAGCATGTTCAGTATCATACACAGTCGCATAGTAGGGGGGAACGTGTGCGGAATAGCTTGACTGACGTGAAGCAGTAGTGAATGAGACGCTGAGAAATACCTTCCTCGCTATCATACTTGAATAGTAGTAGCCTCTCTGGCTTTTCTTCAGTAAACCAAATATAGAAAATTTGGGGGTGCAGGTGTTTTGCGTTATTGTAAACTTTAAAGGAGGTATCGATTCCTTTTTTATACATATATTTAAATTCTTTTTTTAATTTTATTTATTTATTTTTTTTTTACTTTTGCCCAGGGATGTCCCTCATTTACTGAATGGATTCTTGAACTGTTGGCTTTATGTGTTAAATGTTTACTAGCCTGTTGGAAACCTGTTAACTTCCACGCGTGTGATTCTTTTCTGTGTTTTAAACATTGCCCCTGTCAGGGCATCTGGAGTGTTTTTAAGCCTGTCGCTTCCTGTTTATTCCACATCATTTTTGGGGCTCTCCCCTCCAGGCAAGCTCAGTAACTCCTCTGGGTACTGAAGAAATCCTAGATCACACCAAAGAGATTGTGATGATCCTCTCTTAGTGATGTGTAATTGTGGGAGCTAATTGTGCCTTGGTTGTTTCTCTTCTCTTTGTACAATTTTGCATATTCTTGCTAGCGTGACGTTAAAACTTGTAAAAATGGCTGCTATTTTATTTGAAGTTATCAGTTAGAAATGGTCATTTCATTAGAAATAGCCTTTTCGTGTCCAGTAAAAAAATGTTGTTAAAAATGTCACCTTTTGTCTTTCCAGTGTTGAGAAATGGTGCTTGGGAAATTGTTCACTGGGAAAAGGTATGCATTGATTTTTATTTTGTTCCAGGAGAAAAAAAAAATATGCATAGAAATGTACAGTAGTCGATGTAATTTTTGTATATGATATAAAGCAAATGTCAAAATTCCACTAATATGAAAGCTATTTAGGAATGTAAACATGCATGGAGTCTTCAGTTAGTCTCATCCATTTAATATTTCTGCAATATTCAAGAAAGGCTATTATTTTTTTAAAAAACAATCTAGAACTTTTATTTCTTTCATAGTATATTTTGAGTACTGTTTTCATAGATTTTTGTTTTTAACCATGAACTGTTTTGCATTGTAATTTTTTTTCTTTAATCATCTACTGTCCAAGTAAAAATAAAAGTTTGAGTTTTGATATTTTACTTTTGTCTGTTTACCTCAAATTCATATATTGAGACTAATCACATGTGCATGCTGCTAATTCCTTTAAAACAAAAGTCTTAGAGATTAAACCTCATCTTCTTATGGACCGGAAGCCAGTTCTATAATATCAGAGGTTAATTTGCACATGGGATCTCTAGCATGGCAGTTATGAGTTGAGTCTTAATGTAGCAAAGGTTACTTAGGTGTTCGTTCTTTTCAGACCTCACTTTGGAACGGTACGCGGTTATTATGAGTTCTCCCTTAGTTCTGGAAGAAGATTTGACCTGTAGTCATTCACAAGTGAATAACTTTTGTAACTTGGTCAAAGTCTCTTTGGAGGCCAGGCTACTCTACCCAGGGGACCTTATTTCCTGGGATGCCAGGACACTAAAGGTGTATATCTAAGGACAGTATATTGTCAGGACAATAGATAGAGGTCTAAAGACCACACTTGGTTTGCATTCCAGTATTTCCCAGCCAGTTTCTGCCTGTGGTCTCAATTCTACCTTGTGATGTTCATGGTCACCTTATATTCCTATAAGAGATACATTGCATCTCTCTCAATCAAAAATTAATTGCATTGTTTCATTGATTTTAAATCAGTAGCTGCAATAGAGTCTGACATCTCCTCTTCCAGATGGTTAAAAATTCACCCCCGTCTTTACTTTGGTCTTTGACATAAAAGCAAAAAGAGGAATATACTTTGATCGTGCTTGCTTTATTTCCATGGTAGGCATCTCTCAAAAAAGCAAAACAGAAAATAAAAAAGTTAGGCTGGGCACTGTGGCTCCACAGCCTGTAATCTCCACAGCACTTTGGGATGCCAAGGCAGGAGGATCGCTCAAGGTCAGGAGTTCGAGACCAGTGTGAGTAAGAGCGAGACCCTGTCTCTACTAAAAATAGAAAGAAATTAATTGGCCAACTAAAAATATATAGAAAAAATTAGCCGGGCATGGTGGCGTGTTCCTGTAGTCCCAGCTACTCGGGAGGCTGAGGCAGGAGAATCACTTGAGTCCAGGAGTTTGAGGTTGCCTTGAGCTAGGTTGATGCCACAGCACTCTAGCCCGGGCAACAGAGTGAGACTGACTCAAAAAAACCCACAAAAACTAAAAACAATTTCAAAATAAGTTTCTTTTATGTTCTTGTCTGGCACTTATGGATTTAAACACTTTAGGGAAAAGATAGGATGTAATTAAGCAGCATAAATTGAATTTTATTATAAACTTTTTAACTAGGGTTGTCAATGTAGTTAAGTATTAATACACATCCCAACAGATTTATATATCAGTTTTTTTAACTTCTAGACTGCTTGCTCAGAAAATAAATAAAGTCAGGAGATAACCATCTGCTACTTCACTCTAAAATTAACCTTTAAAATATCTTATTTCCCTAATAAACAATCATTATTTCAAAATGGTGCTAACTAACTTGGTTGATTATAACGAATACTTTTTCTGTTTTTGATAGACAAAAATTAAATCCCTAGCCATGCTCACCCATAATGGTAGTGTTTCCAGTTGTCTTTGGAGATAAATGCCTCATCTCACCTGGGCATTCCATTCTGAGATACAGAGGGATAGAATTTAAAGTGTTGCCAAAAGTCGTTCAGCCAAAAGAGCTGAAGTTTTTTAATATTCATAATTAGAATTAGGTAATTAAATAAAATTAATAAAAGTTAAGTGATGAAAATTCATGATAAATATATAAAAATTGACAGCATTCTTATGTTGGCAATATCAAGTTAGAAAATAAAGTGAAAAAGAAATCTCATTCCCAGCGCCAGGTAGGATGCTTACAAATAAATTTAAAATACGTGTATATCCTTTGTAAGGAAGGCATCCGTGCTTTAAGCGTTAAAGATTCACACATTAATAACTGTACAAATATGTCCTATTCCTAAAAAAAAGAAAGAGAAAATATTGTTTCACATTATTAATATAACATAATCACAAGGACATTATTGTTTTTTCCTCCAGAATTGACTAAATGATTAATTTGATTTGCAAAAATGAATAGTAAAAAAAAAAATAGAAGAATACTTTGGAAAAATGAAGAACAGTGTGCAAACGTTAACTATAAGTAAAAGGGAAAGCAAAAGTAATTAAAACAGTGTGGATGAGTTGTAAAAATAGATACTGATGAATAGAATAGCATGGAATACATTGGAGTAGTATGGAATATAATTTGGTGTCCTGACATAAAGCCCATTTAATATTTGATAAAAGAGGCAAAAGTAATTGGTAAAAGGATTAATTAATTGTGTTGGGGTTGCAGATTGGCAGTTTCAAGAAATAATACTTGAATGTTTAGTTTATATCTATATTACAACCTATTGCAAAAATAATTTCCAACTGACTAAAAGTTAAATATTTAAACATTGTTTTGGGAAAATATGCAAATAGGATAAAGACTTTAGCAAATATTTGGAGAACAGCAATGAATCTCAAGATCTGTGGATTTTGCTTATATAAATTTTAAAACTAACATATCACGAAAACCAACACAAATAAGTTGGCAGTGTATGTGAAATATTTGTCATACCATGTATGACAAAAGATTTAGGTCATTGTTACATAAATAGGAAATAAAAGTAGGTAATAAGCAGGAAGAAATAGAATAATCAACCAGACTCAGTGTAATATTCAACCTAATAATAAAAGTTGCAAATTTAAACAAGATTGAAGTCTTACTTGCTATCTCTTCAAAGCTTGTTATTTCAGAATTTTTATGAAATATTTCATTTATATGCTACTGTGGATTAGCAGTTTGACTATTCATATCAAGAACCACAAAAAGGGGAATTTATCCCAAGAAAATTTCTACATGCATAAAAATGTTTTATTGCAGCATCATTTATAATGGTGAAAAAGGAGAATGCACGGATATACAATGATGGGGAAAGTATTTTATAAATAAGTTACGACACTCTACACTCTTTTTTTAATTTTTTTTTTATTTTTGAGACAGAGTCTCACTCCATTGCCCAGGCTAGAGTGAGTGCCGGGGCATCAGCCTAGCTCACAGCAACCTCCAACTCCTGGGCTCAAGCGATCCTCCTGCCTCAGCCTCCCGAGTAGCTGGGACTACAGGCACGCGCCACCACGCCTGGCTAATTTTTTTTCCATTTTTAGTTGTTTGGCTAATTTCTATCTATTTATAGTAGAGACGGGGGTCTCGCTCTTGCTCAGGCTGGTCTCGAACTCCTGAGCTCGAGCAATCCTCCCGCCTCGGCCTCCCAGAGTGCTGGGATTACAGGCGTGAGCCACCGCGCCCGGCCACACTCTACACTCTTATATATTCTGTGACAAGTAAAAGCTGTCATTTCACAGGCTGTGGCGATAGAAAAAAAAAAAGAAAAACTTACACTATTCATTCAATGAATGCTTGTTGAGTGTATATGCCAGGCGGTAAGCTCACAGCGGCAGGCAGGGCATATATAAAGGTCCCTGTGTTGCAAAATACAGTCATGGGTGACAAGGACAGGACCCGATGGCAGCCGTGTGAAAATGGCTGTTGAACAAGTGGACAGGCACTAAAAAGCAGCCTGACTTGTTGGGGTAGCCGGATGGTGAGGCGGGTCTTTTCTTTGGCTTATGTGGTATTGTGCACCATTAAACATAAAAATCGATAAACCAAAAACCAAGATGATGGTTGCATGCCCAGGTAACACGATAGGGCTTGGTGCAGACGGGCTCTCTCTTTTCCTGCCCTTCTGAACGTGCAGCCGCTGCGGTTGCTTTCTAATGGGTCTCGGGGGACCTGCAGAGTTGCCCACGGTCAGTCTAGCCACTCGCAGACTTCAGCCCTCAAACACGCACGGGGTTCAGCTCTTGCCCTGAAGCCTCCTCCCTGTTCCAGGAGGTTAAGCTGCAGGTATCTCGTTTTAAAAAGAAAGCGTTGCAATTGCAAAGCCCTGCATGAAAAGAGCCATCTATGTCTTCACTCTGGACGGGTCAGCAGCTGGCTTCATTGCCTGCCCTCCTCCTCCCCATTACAAAGAACAACGGTTCTTTGCATTGAGATGCAGCTGAGTGGCCACGGCTCTTTAGACATATGCAGGTGGTTAATTTAGAGGAAGAGTCTGGGAATCTGGCAGGTCATTCTGGCAGAGTGGAGAAGCACAGCCAAGTTGGGCTGCATACATGTGTAAAAGTCCCTCTGGGAAGCTTGCTTTGGTGCATGAAGTTCCCACGACAAAATGCATGCCTTTGGATTAAGAGTTTGCATCTCTAAAGATCCCTTAGTAAAAAATGTGAACATACTGGGACCTAGGATTGGACCAAAGTAGTTGGATATTTATCCATCTACCTACCTATCTATCAATCAATCAATCAATCAATCAATCAATCAATCAGAGTCTCGCTTTGTTCCCCAGGCTAGAGTGAGTGCCGTGGCGTCAGCCTCGCTCACAGCAACCTCAGACTCCTGGGCTCAAGCGATCCTCCTGCCTCAGCCTCCCGAGTAGCTGGGACTACAGGCATGCGCCACCATGCCCGGCTAATGGATTTTTAAGTCATTCCGTTAAACTGCTTTGTGATGATATTCCTCCTGTTAGAATAGGTATGGTCGATAGCATTTTTGCCGTCTTGACCTTTTCTTCTGTCCTAGTCGTCTGGTGCACACACCAGGCT